CACACTAATGCCCATTGTCATGCATGAGCGCTCTGTAATCCCCTTCTGCATTTTGTAACATGATCCCTGTGATTATTTGACTCTAGGATCTGTTAAATGACTGGAGATCATGATATTTAGTAAAAGAGCCAAAGTAAACTAAGGTCCTATTCATACCTGCTAAAGTTCATTTTCTGTGCAGTAGATTAAAAATTCTAACAGGAACTTTTGGTATTTTATGCCCAGCGTTTTCAGATTAAAGTGTAATCTCAAAAACATGTAAACAAAAAAATACAGGAAAAACTGTCAGGTGTAACTTTTAGTGATTGGGAGTGAAGATTAAATAAACATACATTTGGAAAAATGTATTAAAAATTAATTTAAAAAATACATTTCACACTGAAAAGTTTAAACAGACATAAATACTAAAAATGAATGTAGTTCATGGATTTCTTACTCAAATTTAGTATTAATAATTATATTATTATTTAGTTATTATTATTATTATTGTTGTTGTTGTTGTTGTTGTTGTTGTTGTTGTTGTTGTTGTTGTTGATGATATTATTTTTATTCCCTAGACCAATGTTCCCCAACCCTGGTCGTCAGGCCACTGACCTGCATGTTTTCCATGTCTCTGCTGCAGCACACCTGACTGACATTGGCTCCTCAGGAGGACATCAAGTGCTGCAGATATCTGTCAATCACTCATTCATTTAAGTCAGGTGTGTGGCAGCAGGGAAACACTGGTGTTTAAAAGGACAACATGGAAAACATGCAGGACAGTGTGCCTTGAGGACCAGGGTTGGTAAACACTGAACTAGAGCACCAACACAAACAAAGTGCATTAAAAACCTGCAGATACCCAACATGAGCAATAAAATAAGGAAAACTACAAACAACAATGGAAAAGAAAAAACAAACCAACAAGAAGAACCAGGAACACAGAAAGACCAGAACCAAAACCAGCAATAGCACTTCCATATATCAAAGGTATAATGGAAAAAATAACAAAAACAATGAAAAAACATAATATCAACAAAACCTACAAAATCACCCATGACAGTCAGAAAAAGATTAGTACACCCAAAAGACAAGATATCAGCAGATAAAAAATGTGGAGTCATACACGAAATCCCATGCAAACACTGTAATAAAACATAGGAGCAACCAGATCAAAGAAGCGATAGAAATAAGGAGATGTGGACACAAAACCATGAGTTTACACACTGGATCATGCATGGGACAGTGTCATCAGCAACGAGGGTGCAGGCAGTAGAGGGTGACATCGTCCTCTGCTGCCTACGGATAAAAGGAAGTGACGCAACACCAGCGGGTTCTGATGAGGGCTAGAGTAGCTAGCCTGGCCTGCCAGACTCGCCCTCTGTCTATTCTACACAGAGGACGAGTCTGGATACTCAGAGGCAGAGAGCGCTATGAGTGGTCTAGCCAGCTCAAAAATAACCAATCAGAAAAAAGGTGGGAATGATGACTGTATCGCATGAAGCTGTGGTTATTTAGCTGTACTCAAAGATGGCTTCTGGTGACGACGCAAACATCTTTCATTAGAAGAAAGGCTTTTAGCGTTTCTTCTTGTCGTGGTTCTAAAGACACGTCCAAGTCATTTAGAACAAAGGAAAGAGCCGCAGTGAACCCCACATCAGACGCTATCTTCATTGTTTATGAGAAACTAAGCGTCGCGGTGTGTGACGTACGCTGCTCATCGCTGATTGGCTCATTTAGAATTCTCAGGGGGTGGGGTTGTTTGAAGCAGGCCCTTTGCTCTCCATAAGGATGCGCTACCATGGCTGGCAAGGCTAAGCTGAAACATGTTCGTTTCAAGGTAATCACCAATTTTTTTTTTTTACTTGCCAGAACTAAGTCATGGATTATGAAGTTACACACAGAACAAATGTAGACAAGTCCATCAGACTCCATTTCATCACTGGCAACGAGTGAAGAGGTGAGTGTGTCAAACAACGTTTATGAATGGAGAAAGTTTTGTAACTGTTAGTTACAAATCAGTAAATGCGTTTTGTCCTCGCGGGCTCCCGTAGAAAGAAACATGGCGACACCCAGATACTTTAACCTGCTCCCATGTATTTTAGACCAGATTTTTATGGTTATATGTCACAAAGCTGCCAATAACTGGGCATCGTTCATTTCATTTTCAACCACGTTTCGATGGATAATTCCAGAGGTTAACGGTAGAAACTACACACTGTCTCTTTAAGGGAACATGGCCTTGTGAAGTGGGCTTCTGGAAAACTGAACAAACATCGTCTCACCTGTTGAATGGCTTCCGCTAAGTCATACAGTTAAACCGTTTGGTCCTTCATGTCTAACAGGTGAGATATTAGGTGTTTCCACAGAAACCCACTAACAAAATGTGAACCATCCCTTTAATGAGTTGTATGAGAAAGAGGAAATGCTGGCACTAATCCACCAAGCAGTGATTGATGACACCACACGATGAGCTCAGAGATATGCCGCTTCACTGGACTGGACTTGTCTCATGGCACTCATTCACCTAACGTCTGTGATGAATAACACCGCGGTATATCACTGCCCATTGTAACCACAGAGTTCCCATGAATCCCAGATGGAGGCCTTTACCTAGGGTTCAGTTGAAACTGTTTGTTTTTGGTTCCGGACTCCGGACAGGGACCGTTTAAATTCCAGGACCAGGAGGAAATCTAAAGGAATGTGTACCTGACACAATCAGGGATCATTAATGTGATAATCCCCCATTGTTTCCACCTAACGGCCCTCCTGTTATGTTTCACATCAGTCGTCCCCAAGGAGATAACAGCTGTAAAACATCGAGCACGGTACAGGAGGCAAACAGCCACAACAACCCTCTTCCCTCCCCCCTCTTTGGCCTCCCCTCGGCCACCCCACCCTTAGAGAAAAACTACAAATAGTCTCTTGTGTAAGAGCACAGAGATCTGAGTGATACAGCTTTATTTCATAGTATTCTTCCATTGTCACACAAACACACAGCACTGTCTAGTCGAAGCGGTCCATTCAGCCCACTGACCTTCAGCGAGCCCCTCAGTTCTTGGCATGACGCACAAATGGCACACTGTGCAGCGGCGTCCAGACGATTCAAGCGTGCAGCTTAAAACATGGTGACAGGTCTCAGCAGAGCTGCATCACCCATCCACACGCTACCATCCCACCAACAAAACCACGCCAGGGCTTCAACGCAACAACGCAGTGATTTGTGAAGCGGTGAGGACCACCACTTGAAATGAGAGTTGTTGGTCTACATGTAAAGAGGAACCCTTTCAATGGGACTTTGAACACACCACATTTACACCATGATGACATTTTTGTCTTTCTATCCTCACAAAAAACACAACAACGTGCTAAATAAGAATGTTCTACTAAAGGAAAAACTCAACAATTAAATGGATTTTTCCATTGTTTTCTATCATCAACGTTAAAGTTGCAGCAGAACTACATAGTCAAAACCCAAAAAAGCAAGCCAGAAAGCAACAGCAGTTACACAATCACATTATTTATGTTTAAAATTTGATAGTTCTTGAAATTCTTCCTGTTAAATTTTTTTAAATATTTTTATTCAAATGAAATGGAAGTGAGTAAAACACCAAAACCACATGTAAACACATTTGCTGTTTTTCTAGAGCTAGAATTGAGTTTCATTTTAAAGTATTTTAATATTTTGATGTTTAGCAAGGGTGTGCCAATAGATTACTGCCTCTAAGATGTATTAGTTAGAAAAAGCAACTAGGCCGAAGTCAGGGGTCTCTCTAAGCCTGGGAATAAATAGACGAAATATTTTTATGATTTCTTTTACGATTTTTGTAGCCCAAAAACGTCAATAACTAACAGTAGCCATTATTTGGGTTAGTTGATTAAATATATATACAGTATATATGCTGTCTGTATTGTTGGCACTGGAGGCTTTTTAATTTGCTCACTGTATGAAACTGTAAACAAGAATCTTAAAAGAAATTTTGGTTATTTTCCAGGTATTTTCTCTGTAAATTTTACAAATAATTATGTTACTGAACAGCCTGTTTTGTGAAACTGTTTACATCTGACATGATTGATGGGCTAATGGCTAGTTTGTGTGTGCATTTAAGATCAAAGCTGCAAAATTTCATGGAATTTTATGTCATTAAATCTTTAGACTGCTTTCAGTTACAATGATCTGATGTTTATAAAATTATATTCACACGAGCCACCCTAGAGCCATTTTAAAGACGTGGTTAACTTGTTTAATCAGGACATTTGCAGTGGTAGTAGGGATGAATGCCTTCTAACTTATTCTCTGGGGAAACAACATTTCTATGTGCCTGTTTCAGGAAGTAAATCAGATGGCCAGATTTTCAGTCTCATTTCCTGATAATTGGACATCTTGCATCGGATTGGATAAGAGTGAGGCAAATCTACCACTAACTCTGTTGCTCTGCAACGTAGATGTTGTATCTCCACAAATAACACAAGCCTGGATGAGTTCTGCTGTGTGGTGGAGTTGTTTATGCTAACGGTTAGCTTCTGTTAGTCGAGACGTTCTCTGCTGTTTCCTGGATGCCAAACCAACAACATCCTTCCCGTAAGTCAAGATGGGTGAGTCCATAAATGTTAAGTGACAGTGTGGCGTAGATCTGTCCGGCTTTTCAAATCCGAGCATTTTGCTGTCTATTTTCTATCAGAAGCTAATGCAGGAGATCGGTGTAGGAGACTATTTTCATGCTCAGCCTGCATGTAAAACTCAGTGTGACCCATTATAGATTTTTCAGTGAGCCACACCTTTAAGGCAGCAATAGTACACTATTGTTTAACTGCATTCCAACTAGCCGTTAGCTCATCAGTCCTGAAGTCTGTAAACTCTACCTCTCCAAAGGAAGGGCGTTCAGGAAGTTGACAGTGGGTGAGCTTGTGGACATTTGTACAGACAGAGTAGTTCCTCAGCAATCAGCTTCTGAATGATCGGGTGAGGTACGCATGAGGTTACAGAACATTCTGACATGAGAACAACGATCCTCTCTCACCTGTTTCCAGAGGAACTTGTCTTCCTGGTTGAGCTGCCAGGTTGTGACCACGTGTATGATGGATAGCACTGCTCCGCTCAGCACCGCTGCCCTCATCCTAACAGGCAGCAGGGTGTAGATGATGTAGATAAAGAACACAGACCACCAGATTCCCTCTGAAGCGCTCCGAGGCGCCACCATGAGCACTCCAAACACCTGCACCGACACCAAGACGCCGATCACCAAGTAACTGACCATCCACATGTAGTCCTGGTGGAAGCCATTACGGTTGCACACCACCATGAGAGCCATGAAGAGCGCCATTGCCACCGACAGGGCAGAAGAATAGGCCACGTGAGGAGCTGCATGGACACAGTGGAAGGTCAACATGATGCCGCACACAATCACAAGGACCCCCATGAGCATTGTCAAAGAGCTCTGGTTCAGCCTAAAGAAGTAACGCTGGTATAGGCGCTCCAGTTTACGGGATTGGAATTTCTTCGACTGGAACACTCGCACCACCCTGAGCCAGCAGTCCGCAGCCGTCATCACCCCTCCAGCGCCGTTCGGACCCTCGTCGCTCATGTCGCTACTCCCTCCGTTACATCCACCTTTCCTGCCCTTCAACTCTCCATCCTCAAAGCCCAAGTCGACCGATTTCAGACCCACCCCTTCACTGCAAGCCCCTCCCCTTTTGCCATAGTGGTCCTCCTGCCACCCGCAGCGGACACCGAAGTTTCCCCCGCCTCCCACAATCCCGGCCACCCCTCCACGATGGTGCTGCTGGAGGGGGGCTCCGGAAGGGGGTTCCATAGCATCTGGGTCCCGCAGACAGCTCATGTAACGCGGGCTGCAGAGAGATGAGCCTCCCTTCCGTTTGGACTTCTTGCCATTGCGTTCACCCCACGCAGTCTTGCGGTCATCCACTCTAGCAACTAGGAGACCACTGAACCAGGACATTCTGTGAGATCAGACAAACAGATAACCGTCAAAACACTCACGTGACACCGTTTCCTCCTCCCAGAGACGCTGGCTTACCTGTCAGGGTTCTGGTACATGTTCCAGCCCTTTCCTTTACAACTGGTTCACTCATTTATCCCCTTGGATGAAATTATAAAGAGGAGAGGAGGGGGTTGTAGAGGCCACGCTGCAGGGGCCGCAGGGTGGGAGAGAGTGAACGCAGACCAAACGGCAGACAGAACTCCAGATGTTTGTGGCACAGCTGAAGATCAGACACCAAGGTTTATGTGAGTCTCAGTTGCCGGGCCTATCTCCATGGCTTCTGCTGGATCTGGGAGAAAAAGTCAAACACATACGAAGGTTTTACGGTGAAAAGATCTCCGATCAGGTGATGCTAATGTAAATGTCCTCTTTAGCCTTTAGTTTGTGCTAACGGTCTTCCTGACTCACTATCAACCATTTCAGGATTGTTGGAATAAAATGAAACACACATTTGCTTAAAACCGAATAGAACAGGGTAAAGTGGAAAGATTCAACCAAAAATAGTAGGTACGTTTCGTCAGGATTTGCTCTTTTTGATTCTAGTAAAAGTAAACATAAGATGAAAGACGGGCTACACAGTGGCGCAGTGGTTAGAGCTGTTGCCTTGCAGCAAGAAGGTCCTGGGTTCACTTCCCGGCCTGGGGTCTTTCTGCATGGAGTTTGCATGTTCTCCCTGTGTAAGCGTGGGTTCTCTCCGGGTACTCCGGCGTCCTCCCACAGTCCAAAAACATGACTGTTAGGTTGATTAGTCTGTCCAAATTGTGTGAGTGTGTGTGCATCATTGTTTGTCCTGTGTGACTCTGTGTTGCCCTGCGATGGACTGGCTCTCTGTCCAGGGTGTACCCCGCCTGATTGCCCATTGACTGCTGGAGCACCAGCCCCCCCACCCCCACCCCCCCGACAAGTGGGTTCAGAAGATGGATGGATGGATAAAAGCCATAAAATACACCATCTGGCATAAAAACACAAAGCAGCATTTTGGAGTCAGCTGGTCTGAAGGGGACAGGTCTGTTTTATCATCACAATCAATGATAAACAGCAAGTACAAAACACAGATTAAGGTGGCTTGGACAACTGGACACTATCCGGACAGTAATGTCCATGCAGAGTGACAGAATGTGAGTGTCTAAAAAAAGAATAGTTTAGAAAACTTCCAGATAGTTGACATGTGGTTTTGTTTAACCTTTGTGCAACGCAAGGCACATGCGCTGTTTATCGCACGTTGGGTGGATAAAACTCTAAAGTAAAGAAGATCTGTTAACATCACAGATAGTAAAAATAACTATGTCTGTTGTTGGTTGTTCTTATAAGACAACATGATAAAATGGATTATTTACATTTAGGTTGTTTGTGTGCAATGCAGAATATTTAATTCATCTCTCACTGTGTGTGTTTGAAGATTCTTCTCCCGATGACGAACATGTGATCTTCAGTGATATTCAGACACGCGTTTGTGCTGATGGCAGCATTTTTTAAAGGCTTCCACTTCATTTGCATAGAAACATCTTTTATATTTTATTCTGTTACATGTTTGTCAGCCACTTCTTTTTAAAAGCCTTCAAAATATGCATCAGAATGTGTGATTTTATTGGGAGAAGAGTGGCTGTGAATTTGTTTATGCAGACAAATGTTGTTTTAACAAAAGGGAGAAATGTCTACATAGTGGGACTTTGGTGAGAAAACCCTGACCACAGAAGCACAGCTTTCCTTCAGAGTTTCAACAACTTGATTGACTGAGGCTAACCCCGGCTTTCCACTGGATGCGCATGTGGCGCGTTACTAATAGACGCTTTTTACCCACATTCCCACCGGGAGCGTTTCAGATGCAAAACAACAGTGAAATCATTCCACGCTGCTATGCAGGTTACAAAATCACTGGAGAATTGATTTCAGCAGTTCACACAATAACTAGCAAGGAGAAAGATGGCAGAATGGATCAAATAAGATGTGTGGTTTATTATATGTTCTGTTTACCTCGGCTATACGGAGACGTCACAGCTTCTGAGGTGCTTTTTTTTTTTTTTTGCTAGTTAAGCAACTGGAAACCTTCATGTGACTTTTATTTTGAATGTTTTCAGAAATTTACACAGCTTTTGTCTTTGACTTCCTGTCTGCCTGATCTGAACTGAGTTTGTCGGGTTTTGAAAGTGTAGCGCCTAAAATAAGACACAGAGCATAATGTGCAGCGGCAATTTGCCGCGAACGACACTTTGCTGACATCATGCAACAAATACACATCTGATGGAAAGGCTCAGTAAAACTGTACCTCTTTCTGCCTCTCACTCATTTTTTCATCAGGGAGTGAGAGATACAGGTATGGTTACCATGGTGACCTTAATGAGCCACAAGCAACAGCAGCAGCATTTCTTTTACTGCATCAAATAGATTGGCACAGCTGATGCAGTCGACACATTTACTTCCGGGTATTTATGTTGTCATAACATCTCTTCAGCTCTGTTATTATGGATAACAGGAGCATGCAGCGTCCATTCCTGACTGAACCATGCTTTTTCATTAAGCAGCAGATCCTACAAGGCCTCCGTCGCCGCCTCCCTCCCCTACGTCCGCCGCTGACAAAAGCTTTTCCTCGCTGTATTCCGTCTGCCTGCGCCTTCTCTGGCGCGCACTTCTCCTCCCCCCTGACAGCGGATCGACAAGGATTCAAGGAGAACCAGCTCCCACCTCTACCTCTCCTCCCACCTCCACCTCCCCGGCTGCGTCCCTCGCTCCCCTGCACAAGGTCGACCAGCTCAAACCCATCTGCCTGCTTGCGCTTCCAGCCGCTCGCTTGTGTCTGACTGCGCTCTCCGGTTTCCCCATCTCTCCCCGGTGAGAAGGGGAAGAGGTGGAGAAACAGGAACGGTGGGTCGGTGATCATCACCGGACACAGTGAGCATTGGGTCATTCATTCCGTGCGACCGAGGCCGTGGATCTCCGTCTCCGGGACTTGTCATCCAGATGAAGCAGATAGAGATCAAACAGACAGAGGCGATTAAAGAGCTCCAAACGGATCTATTACCTTCTTTATTATTTATTATCTCCCATCTCTGCGGCTCTGTTTTGATCCCTGCGCGGATGATGCGTTTGCGGTCCGGTGTGTGAATGCCATGCACAGGCAGGCCGTGCGTGAGGGCCCGCATTCAAATAGCGTAAGATTCCTGTTACATAACACCGTGGCCTATGTGACAACCTACAAAACCACCCCGCCGCGTCCCGACTGAGGGCACTAAAAACACGCCTCTGTCACAGATCCGGATCCATGTCTCCGTTAGCCCGCAGCAGAACCGGACTCGTCATCGGGTAATAAACACGTTATTACTGCTGCACATTCCTGAGCATCAGCCGCTGCTTCCAGGAGCAACACTCGTCTAAAACCCGCCGCTTTGAGCCGGACTTTGGGTCCAAGCGGCGTCTGAACGGAGACGTTTCTGTTTAGATGTCAGTAAACGGAGCTCGTTTTACCCTCCGGGACTGGCAGCTGCAAGACGCACAGCGATGCGGCTCATCCTTCTTCTCCTCGCATGCACACTCACTCACACGCGCGCACAACAAGATGATGTTGTTGGCCGTGAGTGGAAAACATCTACTGACCGCGTTTCCTCCGCCAGCAGCACCTGTGAGACGCAGGAGGCCTCACTGGGTCTGTCATCCAGTCCGGCGCACAAATGAAGTGCTGGCTGTGAGGCAGAAGCGCACGCACGCGCAACCCCCCTCCTAAACACCGCCAGCCCCCAACGGCGCAACAGCGTTTCACACGGTGGTGTGACAGGAGAACCGATGTCGGCCTGCACCGTGCCATGAGTAAATGGGGGAAACGTATTTAAATAAATAAGTCTGTGTAAAAGACAGTAGGACTCACCGTGATCATCACCTCCTGCCCTCCAGCACGACCGCAGCTGAGGACCCGATCCGGACAGGCTGTTTGTCGGAGCGGCCAGGGTGGAGGAGCATTTGAAGCCGAGCGGTGCGAGGATGGTCCGGTTAAATTGGACACCCTGTGAAGGATCTCCTCCTGCCGTCCTCTAGCTCCACACTCCCCCCTGCCTCTCCTCCCCCTGGCCCTCTCGGCTCCAAGCGCCACACCATCAAGGAGGGGGAGATGGAAACAAAGCACTTCCTGTTGACCTTTCAAACGAAAAGGACGCATCGTGCCAAGAGCTGAAGTCACACTGAACTTTACGCACGTGCTTTTTAAAATTAACCAGTCTTTACGAAACCATAGATCATAATGAGACCAGCATGAGCTTCTCCCAGTGGTGGAGAGTTGGAAGTTACCAAATCACTGGAACAAGATTTGGTCTGCAAACATAACTTGTTGTTGGGTACAGATGGCTTTCACGTCCACTTCATTTTTTGCCAAAGCTGTTGGTAAATATCTGGTAAATCAATGATGTGTGTGCACTTCTAGAAGGGAGAGATGATCAGAATAAAGCTTCATGTTCTCCGCATGTGCACCAACTTACCACAAGATGAACAACTGTCCTGGGTGTACCCTACCCACTTGCCCCAATAGGCACCACCACCAATATGGATGAACACATAAACTCTTATTGTTATAACCTTTTCATGTCAACAAGCTAAAAATCGTTAATTTAGGTATATTTTAAACAAAAACTTACTAAATGTCCCAAACTAGTATAATATTTAAATGATCATTTCAAATGAGTATCTGAGACAAGAAAATATGTAAAATACAACCTCAGATACAAATTAATAAATTAAATAATGATGATGATGACGACGACGACGACGACGACGACGACGATACGCTACGATTGGGTACACTACAGATGGGTTTTATAGGGACCATGAGCATTGTTAGTTGTAAATGCACCAGTTATTCAAAAACAAAAATGTTCATCCTCGAGAGTTCCCACATTTATTTTGAAACCGAACATCTCTCATTTCCGGTCTAATGCACTGTGACTTCTGCAACGTGGTTTGACGCAGCTCGGTTCAGCCCAGGCGCGCTGCTGCTCTCGCCACTCATTCCCACTCTCAGTGACTCGGTTCTCCCTCTAGAGGTGAGAAACTCCCACAGCTGTGATCTCCAGCAGCAGGATGTGAAGAATAAAAAAGGCACAAAGAGAGGAAATTAGAGCAAAACCCTTATTAATACAAGAATGATGAGCTGGAGGAGAGGATGGTCTTCATTTCCAATACTAAACAACGTGTATTTGGATTTCAGTGGATTTTTTATGCATTTATTTTTACATTTATTTATTTGTGAATTTAATAAAACATTATTGCATGAATAATTTCTTCAGTGAGGAGTCTAATCATTTCATTCATAAATGAACTCATAAATAATAACAAAGTATCTTTATTAGAACTGAAATGTCTTATGTGCAATAGCTCATCTCAGCATTTTTATTTATGTACATTTTGACCAAATGTACAGTAAAGTTTGATTTTATTTCTTTTTTTTTTTGCACAACAAAGTTAAATAGTGATTCTGGTTCGTTGTTTGTTTCTTTTTCTTTGTGTGTCTGTGACGTGCAACATTTACATCAGGCATTTCCTTTTCAACATGTGGAAACAAACAGAACAAAATGTAAAAAATAGAAGCAAACCAAAGAATCAACTCTGGAAAATCAGCCAGGTTGCTGCTTTAGTCTGATTACAACACTGACAAAGTCATAAGGTCATACTGACCAAACTGTTTTTTCAAGTGTAAACAGAAGACAGTTCATACTAAATCTATGTTTATAATCACAGCGTGTGTGTCTCATTCAGTTTTTGGGACAAGAATTACAGTTTTTCTCAATTGCTAAAACACTAAGATCCATTGACTGAAGAAAGTTCTCAGTTGCTTGAACTCATTAAGCTAACTGTTGGGCCTGTTGTCAAAACCTTAAACCATTTCCCACAGTTTAGCAAAACCCTAAACACATTCTCATTCTTAAAACACATTCTGCACTCTAATGTCGTTGCCATCCTGGGGAAAGCAAAGAAGATGTTGGATCAGAAAGCCCTGCACATATTATACTTACTACTGCCATATATGAGTTCCTGTGTAGAGGTCTGGGGAAACACATGCAAAAGTAACATACAGACGATAACTATAATACAGAAAAAGGCCATTAGAATAATCAATAATGTGGGGTAGAGGGACCATACAAATGCACTTTTTGTCGAAATGCAAGCTATTAAATTCCAAGACTTGGTGAAGCTCAAAACGGCGCAAATAATAAAGTAAGAAATAAATTGCTTCCAAAAGAAATCTGTTTGATGTTCAAAGAAAGAGAGGGTGGGTATAACTTAAGAGGGGAATGGAATTTAAAAATTCAAAGTGCTAGAACAACTTTAAAAACTGCCAGTCGCAATTGCAGGAGTTAAACTATGGAACAGTCTAGCAGAAGAGATAAAAGAAAGTAAAAACATAAACCAGTTTAAAGTAAAATATAAAAACCTAATTTTAAATAAGTATAGGAATGAAGAAAACAGGGTTAACCCCGGACGGTAATGCGGCTGGTTATGCTGTTGTGCTTTTTTTCTGTGTTTTTTGGTTTGTTTGGTTTTTCTTTTTTTCTCCATAACTCGTGAATCTGCAAAATTACACATTCTCTGTTTTCCATATGTTGTTTATTTTTATATATATTTTTCATATGCTGTTTGTTTAATTTAAGACTGAAAGAAAATTAAATGAATAAGAGGTCAAACTTGGGGTATGGACAAATAAGTAAATGCTTCTGCCTTCTCCTTTTCAAACAAATAATGGAATTATATTTTGTAATGATACATGTGTGAAATGTTTGAAATAAAAATGAACTGAACTGAATGTACATGTTATTTATAACGGTAAACACAAGTGGCGCACATTTACCCATAACAAGAGCACAAATGTCATTGATTGAACACAATCAGTCAAAATAGATTTCACTCGTTTCAAATGATGTGACAACTAATATAAGCAAGTTCAGAGAGCAAACAGGTTGTTGAAGGTGGGAATGAGAAAGTGTGACAACGGATAGAAGAATTCTTGTGAGAGGACGAGGATGCGAGGTGGGGGTTGAGGAGGAGGGCAAGAACGAGAAAGAGGAGGAAGAGGAAGAGCAAGACAAAGAGTGGACATATCCAGTGAAATTTGAGCAACAACCATTGACCATGTTGTTGTCCATGGGCTGACAATGAGGGAAGCAGGACTTCAGGTGCAACCCAATTTGAGCCTCAGGAGGGAAAATATGTGATGTCGATGAAATGCTGTGGCCTGACCCAGCCCACAGACAAGAAGAGGCCCATTGATAACATGTTTAGTCCTTTGATATTTTTCATTTCATGTATTTTTTCCCCTGTCATTGTGCACTGTAGCACAATGGACAATAAGCAAATTGCATGGCCCTGAACACTGTGCTTTCTATCTTCTGGTGTATTGTTTACTGACTGATTGATGCTGCATGTAATTTTGAGTAATTTGTTTATGATTTGAGAGTAGTGTTTGATTTTGAGCACAGCTAAAACTGTTTTGAGGCAAAAGTTTGATTTTGCAAGAGGAATGAGAGGTTGTGTAAATCGTGCTTGAAGCTGAGGTGTTGTGTTTAATGTTTTGAGACAAGGGAGCAAGGTTTCAGGAATTGCGCTTTAGCAATTGAGAAAAACTGTCAACTGATTCACACTGATGGAGATTCCCAGATCATTCCATGGCAGTTTTTTTACTGGAGTTGCTAAACTCACCAGCAGAGGCAGTGGCGTGTCCAGATCTTTTAAAATGGGGTGGCCCAGGTGAGGCACAGCTTTGTGCATGGGTGGCACCAATGGTTATGCTTTTTTTTTTTTTTTACCTCCAAGCCTTTTGTGGACAATGAAAAGCCTGTTTAAAAGTAAATTAGTGTGGTGGCACCTAGGGTGGCCAATCACATTCCAAGGGTGGCATGTGCTACCCCAGGCCACTCCCTGGACACGCCCCTGAGCAGAGGACGTGGTTGTGCATTTATTTCCAATTTCTCATAGTCTGGTTTTGTTTAGTAAAGGTGACAGATGATAAAATTAGCATTAAACAGAAATGAGGAGGTAGAGAAAACAGGCTTACCAAAAGGTCAACAAGCCAGCCTGAATACACAAAACACACACCGCATATTCAGAAGTGTTTACATATTCAACTCCGGGAGTTCAATTCAACACTTTCAAAGTGTTGAATTTAGTGGTCCACACTAGATTGAGTTAGAACCACACTTTCAAACGTGTTGTTCAGTTTACACTGTGGCAGAGTTGAAACAACACTCTCAATAGATGAAACAGAAAATGGTATAGAATTTTCTCAACACCAGTGTGTGAGTTAAAAATGAACACCATCAGTGTGTTTTATATACACCGATTAAGGTTTCATTTGCAATAAGACTTCGGAAAGTGTTAAATAACTTCACTTTGAAATTTAGATTTTTAAATACTACTGGGAGTGAATTAATAAAATCGTTTCATGTCAGCAACATAGATAACACCTACATTTATAAAGAAACCCACACAAGTTCCAGTTTGAAACAGCCTGCAAATCAGACAAGCACATCACATAAAAACAGTTGCAATAACCACAACACAAGATCACACATTACGACAATGGGGCAGAAGTGGAAACTATTCAGTGTCAGTTTTACACTCATTGGAGTTAAATTCAGTTTCAAAAAACTCCATGAATTAATAAAATTTTAACTTGTATCAGTGTTTCATGCCAGGAAGCTAATAGCTACACATAAAACATCCACTAGCTTGTGCCTCTCACACCTCATGGCTAGTGAGAGAGGAGCACATGGACCAGAGACTTGAGCATGACATGTGAATCATGCATCACTTGTTTCATTGTGACAGCAGAACAGCACAGGGTTTCATTCCTGTGAACAGCCTCCTCACTTACGGTACCAGCATGGCACGAGTAACACAAAATTTACAACAGTGAACAAAATAATAACTAGGAACACCCCCCACCCCCCAATAAAAGTAACTAACTAAAAACATGACTACCCACAATGCACCTCGCCCACTGCAGCTCCTGCTTGAGCATTGACCTCAGGTCATTACAATATGTAGACGTAGAGCAAAGCCGTTAAAGTGTTTTGGTAGAGCTTCTCTCTCTGCAGCCAGTCGGTCTCTACCACCATATATTTGTATATAAATATAATTATGTAAATGTCTATGGTCACTACCAGACCAACATTTAGAATAAAGGGGTAGAGTCTCTGAATTAACTCTGCAGGTCTTATAGCCGCTGTGAGAGATCAGAGTAAGCTTTTCATGAGTTATTTTGTCCAAAGGTTTTAACTGTTGCAAATCTGCAATGCCTGCCTCCAGAGGGTTAACACCCGATTTTAACTCTGTGTTACATATCAACTATATAATTCTTTTTAGTGTTAAATAAACATTTCTTAGTGTTAAATTAACTCTACACTTGCTTTATATCCTGAAATTAACACTTTTAAATTTGCTGTACACCTTTATGAGTATTTAATTTGCTCATTTAATGTATGACTTTTGTTAGAGAAGTAAAATCCAACTTTGAGCTGGATAACAGAACCACATCTAATTACAAGCATTCATGGAGGAAGTAGAGCATCTCTAAACAGTCCAGCACCGCTAGGTTAAATCTGAGCAGTGTAATTTTCAGTTGTTAGGATTTCAAAAAGATTATTAGGGAGGGGTTTAAAAGGAGACTAGGTGGGGTATTTTAATTTTTTTGCTTTTAGCACCCCCTTGTGTCGGTTTGTAGAAGATTTGGAGGTGCTGATCCTCATCCCAGCTGCTTCACACTTGGCTGTGAACCTCCCCTTTAAGAGCTGACGGTCATGAGCCAGATGAAGCCAGGAGGACCACATAATCCATAAAAAGCAGAGACGAGATCCTCCTCCAACCATACTCGACACCCTCCACACCACGGCTGTGAAATCCTGTCCATTAAGATTATGAACAAGACCGGTGACAAAGGGTAGCCCTGGAGGAGTCCAACCCTCACCGGGAACAGGTCTGATTTACTGGCGGCCATGCGGACCAAACTCTTGCTCTTCTGGTACAGGGAATGAATGGTCCTTAAAAAAGACCATCCACTCCATATGCCTATAGCACCCCCACCCCCACAGAGTGCTTCTGGGGACACGGTCACAAGCCTTTTCCAAATCCACAAAACACATGTGGATTGGTTGGGCAAACTCCCACGACCCCTCCATCAAAAGAGCTGGTCCACAATTCCACGACCAGGATGAAAACCATATTGCTCATCCGACCGACCAGACCCTTCTCTCCAGTACTTTAGAGCAGACATTTCCAGTGAGACTGAGAAGTGTGATCCCCCTATAGTTGGAACACACCCTCTGGTCACCCTTCGTAAAAATGGGGATCACCACCCCAGTCTGCCACTCCACAAGAACTGCAGAGACTATGACAGTCCTACAACATCCAAAGTCATGTGATACCCAGGCCGAATCTCATCCACCCCTGGGGCTCCACTGCTGTGTAGTTGTTTGACTACCTCAGTAACTTCTGCACCAGAGATTGCCCACGTGAGCGTTGAAGTCCCCCAGCAGGACAGTGGAGTCCCCAGTCGGAGCACCATCTAACACTCATCCCAGGGACTCCAAAAAGGGTAGGCACTCTGAACTGCTATTTGGTGCATAAGCACAAACAACAGTCAGGACCCGTTCCCCCACCCAAAGGAGCAGGGAAGCTACCCTCTCATCCCCAGGGGTAAATCCCAACATACAGGCAGTGAGTCTTGGGGCTAATAAAAATCCCACCCCAGCCCTCCGCCTCTCACCTGGGTCAACTCTAGCAAAGAAGAGAGTCCAACCCCTCTCAAGGACTCGGGTTTCAGAGCAGATAGCTATGTGTCAAGGTGAGTCCAATTATATCTAGCCGGTACTGCTCAACCTCATCCACAAGCTCCAGCTCCTTTCCCGCCAGAGAGGTCACATTCCATGTCCCAATAGCCAGTTTTCTTGTCTGGGGATCAGACCGCCAAATCTCCTGCCTGGGTCTGCCACCCTATCTACTATGCACCAGACACTTCATGTGCCTCCTGCAGGTGATGGGTCCACAGTTGGATGAGCCCATGTTTGCAGTTCGGGCTGGCCCGGCCGGTCCCCATGGCCAAAAGCCCGACCACCAGGAACTCGCCCATGGGCCCCAACCCCAATCCTGGCTCCAGGGTGGGACCCCGGTAACCCTCCGAGTCGGGTACTCAAACTCTCTGATGTAGTGTTCATGAAAGGTCTTCAGAACCACTTTTCGTCTCACCCTTGCCCTAGGACCAGTTTGCCATGGGAGACCCTACCAAACAACAAAGCTCCTAGGATCATTAGGACACTCAAACTCCTCCACCATGATAAGAAGGATTAACATTATCATTATTATTATCATTATTGTTGTTGTTGTTGGTAGCTACTGCAAGCAGGGGCCCTTATGGAGGATTTGTTCTCTTTATTATTATTCTTCCTCTCCATTTGCTTAAAATTAGCATAAATATAAATTACGCACATTATTAATTAATAACATGGCAGGCTCTCTCAAGAGTTATGTTTAACTTATACACTATCTTGTGGCAGGTCCCTTTTTAAAATTTCTTCAGGGATTTTCTAGGCATTCTTCTTCTTCTTCTTCTTCTTCTTCTTCTTCTTCTTCCTATTATTATTAATATTATATTATTGTTATTATTATTATTATTATTATTATTATTATTATTATTATTATTATTATTATTATTATGTGTATTTTTCAATTTTATTTTGTTGTTTTTTATCCTTATCTTTAGGTGGGCAAATGTTCAAAATTGAAACGTATAATCAGAATATTTCATTCATCATTTATTATTTCAAGACAAATAATTACCCAGCTTCAATAAGCACACACACACACACACACAGAGGGAGAGAGAGAGAGAGAGGGAGAGAGAGAGAGAGAGAGAGAGAGAGAGAGAGAGAGAGAGAGAGAGAGAGAGATTTAAATAAGTAAATATTTTTGTTGTAAACAGGAAAAAAACATTCATATTTTTGGATTTCACAATGACGGTGAAATAAGTAAAAGAAAACCAAATGCAATTATAACAACCAGAATCAGAGTAGAAATGTGGTTCTGGTTCATATGTTTTATGTCTAAGTGAACATTTAATTTAATCACTTGTAATATGTACTTTTTATTTCATTTATAGCCACACTCTGTCAGTATGACATTTATATTTTTAACTGGATGGAAACAGGAAATCAGTCCCTTAACTTTCGACGGTAGGGATTTTTCTGCCATCTGGTGGACATAAGCGGTTACTACAAACATTCATTAAGTTAAATAAGACATAACTCATCAGTACTTCCTGTCATAATTTTCAAAATAAAACATCACACTTAAAATGACTACTGCTTTTAATCAGCGTTGACAGCATAGTTATAATTAAATAACAGAAACGCCTTCAATTATTCAAACTACGTAAGTCAAATTATACAAACTACGTAAGTCGTGAACTCATTCCTTCTATTTTACTGCTCTGTGCTTGTGTGCTAAGCAGGAGCCATCAGCATGCAGGAGGCAGTGGGATACACTATTCGGTGTGTGAACATTATCTAGCTCCAGCCACCCGTGGGTCCTCCTCTCACGATTCATTTCCTCCTTTTTATCCGAAACCGTTCTCTCGTCTTTACTCTACTCGCTCTGGATATTATTCCCGCTCCCCCACACCTGTTTTCAGTTGGACTGCATGCATTTATGTGCTTGTTTCCCGTTCTCGCTCCTTCCAGGAACGCATGTCCGTGTTCCTCCCGCCGCCTCCCTGCGCTGTCGATAGATGATGCAAGTCAAAATGTCCAAATCTTCCGTAGACCCTTTGTCTGCTGTGGAAACGGGCTCCCAGTCGCATTACTTTCAGGTAAATCCGCTCACTTTTCTCCCAACGCTTCCCCGACCGGCTGAAGTCTTTAGAAACGACTAGCTGACATCTCTAACGCTACTTGTTGTGGGGGACACGTACTTCTCCTCTCCCCCCTTTGTAACCTCAGTGAAACCGCAGCTTGTGAGCCCGCACGGCAGGCTCCAACATGTCACACCCACAGAGAAACAGGCTGACACCTCCGCAGATCTCCCCAAATCTGCCCATTCGGTCCCGACTCTCAGATCGGGCCTGTGGCAGTGATGCTTTATTATTTATTTCAGCATGATTTCTTGCCTCGTCTCGTCTACATCAACGCAGAGAAGCAGGCAGCAGCACGGACGGACGGCTTTTTCCCTCGGTGTTAAAACGACAAACCTGCTGTAGCCTTATGTCTGTGGTTGCGGCTCACCTGTTGGGGCCTGGAATCAGCGAGGTGCTTCTGTGTAGCTCAAACCATGCTGCAGAGCTCAGATGTGTGTTATTTGTGCAAATCTATCTTTTTATAGACCGATTGTACTTGTTCCAGAGAGTGTCAGTTGTTATATATATATAATTTGTTAGTATTTTTGCTATTAGACAGGAAATTGGATGAGTGCAATGCTCTTTTTAGACTCTACTGTGTATAACTAAGGACTAAAACCGAACTTCTTTTATTAATTCTGGTAAATTTAGAAATCTGAGCTTTTAACTTTTATTGGGGTGCCAGCTTGCACCAGTCACCTTTGAAAAAGAGATTATGATCTCAAAAGATTTCCTGAATAAATGAAATGAATATGGATGTGGCTGCATAGATGTAGTGGAGTTCCATATTGGTTATTTAACGTATTCAAAAGGGAGGTCTGCTCTATTTTAGGTAAACTTGACATTTACAAGACTTTGGGGTAAAACAGTGCCCATACGCTCAGGTCTATTTCAGCTGGTTAAAATTACAAACGCTACTCACAAATAAAACAATTAGGAGCTGCAGCAATTGCACAGATGCTAAAGCAGTAAATCCCACCACAGCCCAGTTTTTAATTAACGTTTTCAGGTCAGACTTGTGAGCAGAACAGAACGTCCTCTTCTTTGACTTTTTCCTTTCAACATCTGCATGTCTTTTCCACACAGCTGCCCAGGAAGTTGCCTAAACGTAAAAGCCGCTTCAAACGCTCTGACGGCAGCACATCATCTGACACCACATCCAGCTTCATCAAGCGGCAGGTAAGCGCTCCTCTTTGTTCAATGCTAGTTGCTGCCAGCGACACACGGATGGTAAACCTTAGTGGGAGGAATAACGTTTCTATAGAAAATGTAGGTCATGCTGTGTGAGAGTGGGACCAAGCACTTCATCAGAACATGTTTTCCTTTGGTGTTTTGTCATAGCATTTTGCAGAACTTGTAGTTTTACAAAAATGAGTCACCAAACATGTCTCTGATCTGATCATTCCTGTTCTTCCTCATCACTGCACAGCATTGCTTCCTGTGTTGCAGGAGTTGTTTTACCCAGTAGAGGACAGCAAAATGCTGTAAAGCAGCAATATGTTACATCCCATCACAGCCCAGTTTTAATGAATGTTTTCAGGTCAGACGTGTGGGAGACTTGTGAAGATTTTGTGTTATTTAAGAGAATTTCTGAGACTGAAAATATAACAAAACCTTCCATTCTGGTGGTTTTAATGGCTGCTAATTATAACATTACCTCATTTAAAATGACTGTGTAGTTTTTACCATTAGTCTCTGGAAATATCCATCAAAATGCTGTTGAAAATAAATTTATTGATGCCCAATTTAAACATACTCACCTTCTCCCCCTCCGCTTATCCGGGTCCGGGTCGCGGGGGCAGCATCCCAAGTACGGCCTCCCAGGCTAATCCTCTCCCCAGCCACGTCTGCCAGCTCCTCAGCTGGGACACCCAGACATTCCCTGGCCAACCTAGAGATGCATTTCCTCCAGGTAGTCCTGGGTCAACCCGGGGGCCTCCTGCCAGCAGGGCATGCCCAAAACACCTCCTGAGAGAGGCGTCTAGGAGGCATCCTGACCAGATGCTCAAACCACCTAAACTGGCTCCTTTCGATGCGGAGGAGCATTGGTTCTACTCCGAGTCCCTCCTGGATGTCCGAGTCCCTCACCCTATCTCTAAGGCTGAACCTGGCCACCCAGCGAAGAAAACTCATTTTGGCTGCTTGTACCCGCGATCTTGTTCTTTCGATCATCACCCAAAGCTCATTACCATAGAGGATTGGGACGTAGATCAACCAGTAAATTGAGATCCTTGTTTTCTGGCTCAGTTCCCTCTTCACCACGACAGATCGGTTTAGCGCCCGTATCACTGCAGACACTGCCCCAATCCGCCTGTCGATTTCCCGCTCGCTCCTTCCCTCACTCGTGAACCAGACCCCGAGATACTTAAACTCCTCCATTTGACCTCTCTCCCGACCTGGAGTTGGCAAACCACCCTTTTCCGATTGAGAACCATGGTCTCAGACTTGGAGGTGCTGATCCTCATCCCAGCCGCTTCACACTTGGCTGCGAACCCCAGCAAGAGCTGAAAGTCCGAGCATGATGAAGCTAGGAGGACCACATCGTCCGCAAAAAGCATTGATGAGATTCTCCTGCCACCAAACTCGACACCCTCTGCACCACGGCTGCACCCAGAAATCCTGTCTATAAAGATTGTGAACAGGACTGGTGACAAAGGGCAGCCCTAGCGAAGTCAAACCCTCACTGGGAACAGGTCCGACTTACTGCCGGCTATGCGGACCAAACTCACACTCCTCTGGTACAGGGACTGAATGGCCCATAACAAAAGACCACCCACCCCTCACTCCTTAGTGCCCCCCACAGGGGGCCTCTGGGGACACGGTCATGAGCCTTTTCCAAATCCACAAAACACATGTGGATTGGTTGGACAAACTTCCATGACCCCTCCATCACCCTAGCAAGGATAAAGAGCTGGTCCATAGTTCCATGGCCAGGATGTAACATATAAGCATAAAAATCAAGTCTAAAATAAATGGGAGTGGGTCTATTTAAGGTATTTCTCAATGTCAAGGCGCTTTGCTTACGAGGACACTGTCCTTCCTTGTTGAAAGAAAATCATTAAATAGAACAGACTTACCTCATTTGACCACGGCTGCCCAGAGGCGTGCCCTTGTCCCTGGTGAACCGATCATTATACTGGCAACGGATGCAAATAAATGCCCCCATCTGCACACGTTTTGCTGTAAAATGAAAACAAAGTTATATTTTATAAGCATCAGTTTCAATATTGATCTATAACAGGCCCATGAGGACTAAATACATTTACTGATTTGTAACAAACGATTAGAAAACTTTCACCATTCATAAACGTTTTACACATTTACTTCTTCAGTCGTTGCCAGTGATGAAAGGGAGTCTGGCGTGTGTGTCATTTAGCTGGAGGTTGGGCTCCAGGGATGTTTGACCCTAATGGCCATCCATTGGTAAATTCTTACTTGAACACAAAAACATTGCTTGCTTGTAGGTATGTACTGCCCCCTATTGCCAGGGAAAATGTACATAATCACTTTAAACCTACTGATTTAATAGGAATATATTTTATAACAGTGCACTGGTTGTTTGTTTCTTTAGAGAAACCGTTCATTTGATTCAAGTGTCGGTGTAAAGCCCAGCTGATTTGTGGTTTTGGGCTTCCTAAAGGGGAGAGCCGATTCTCGTCAAACCGGGTTGTGAGGAGTCTGTGAAGGTTTCACTGAGCTACAGAAGGACCGTGCATACAAAGATAACCCAAAATCACTAGATCTCTGAGATTCACATCAGAACAGGACAGGATCTGGGAAGGATTCATATGTTCCCTTAAAAATGGCACGTTGGTTGGTTGTGTGGCCCGTTTCTGCAAAAGAAAGAGATAAAATGGCATCCCAACCTGTCCCAGACCCCTCAGTGGAACTAAGGCTTTAGTTTCGGGTTCTCCCCTCACCTGTCCAGTCTCTGGTCTTTTCAAATTAAGAGGCTTGTTATTTCTGGAATGACCTGGAATTATCAAAATGAAAGCTTTAGAGTTAGCACAAAAGTTAGATTTGCATTTTTAATCACAGCTCATTTAGGAGTATTGACTTGTAACTCATTAACAATCTAAATGACAAAGTTCCAAGCCGATTTATACAAGATGGGTAACATCCATCCAACCAGCCTTGACTTACCTCCTTCCGGCCACTTGGGCCAGCTTCTCTGAGGGAATCCCAAGGTGTTTCCTAGCCAGCCGAGAAACATAGTCCCTCCAACGTGTCCTGGGTCTTCATTTAGGTCTCTTTCCAGTTGGACATGCATGGAACACCTCACCAGGGAGGTGGCCAGGAAGCATCCTAGCAAGGCGCCCAAGCCACCTCATCTTGGTCCTAACTTGGTCCTCAGATCAACTCTGAGCCCCTCCTAAATGTCACCCTTTAAGGGAGAGCGCTGACACCCTATGGAGAAAACTAATTTAGCCGCTTGCATGCACAATCACTAACCAAAACTCATGACCAGGGCTGGGACGTAAATTGAGAGCTTAGCCTTTTGGGATTGCTCGCTCTTCACCGTGACAGACCAGTACGGTGCCCGCATTACAGTAGATGCAGCACCGATCCACCTGTTGATCTGTCACTGTTATTCATGAGCAAGACCCGCAGATTTGTAAACTACTCCACATGGAGCAGGACCTTCTACCTGCCATGGAGGAGGCATTCTACCATTATCCGGCTCAAGACCACGGACTCATATTTGGAGGAGCTGATTCTCATCCCAACCACTTCATTCTCTGCTGTGAATTGCTCCAACAAAGTTGGAGATCCCAGTCTGATAAAGCCAACAGGACTACATCATGTGCAAAAATAGAATAGAATAGAATAAGCTTTGATTCCACAGTGAGGAAATGTGCTTGTTAAGGCAGCACATACACTTAGACAATAGGAGAAAAATAATACAGATAAATATGCAACAGCAGTAGGCTATAATTGTAACCTTCAGCAATTAAAAAAATGAATAAATATAGAAAATTGAGTTTCCAAGAAGAAACCACATAAAGGACACAGACATACATGTGTCTCCCGGTCTGACAGGTATAAAGCAGGGACCTGATCCTTATCCCACTAAAATGGATCCTGTCTGCCTTGGCTCCACTAGAAGTCCAGTTCATAAAAATGATGAACAGAACCGTTGACAAAGGGCTGCCTCGGCGGACTCCATCTCTCACCAGAAATGAGCCCGACTTAACGCCGGCAATGTGGACCAAGCTCTTACACCAATCATACAGGACCTAACAGCCCAAAACAGGGGTCCTGGTAACTCATCCTCCAGAGCGCCCCCCACAGGTCTCCCAAAGCAACATGGTCTAACTTCTACAAAGTCCATAAAACACATTCAAACTGGCCAAATGAACTCCCATACCCTCCAGGACCCTGCTAAGGGTATACATACTTTGGTTGCATACCTAACTCCTCTTTTGCAGTACAGCAGGTTGGTTACCATGGTGATTGTATGTCACAGTGTCGCGAGCGTGTCCTATTTGTTGGTTCCGTTAGAACCTGATTCCGTTAGAACCTAAGACTGCGCTGCTTTCTCAGGGTTCGTGGGGCGTCGGTGAGTTTTATTGTATTAGACCCTGGTTTGGACTCCCTAATTAGAATCAGTTTCCTATTTTAAGGTGAGAATGATATGCCGTACTTTTTCTTTTGTGATAGCACACTTCCCTTTTGATTTCTCCTGTTATTTAATGGTTTTAAATACTAAGGCGGAAGTTCGGCTGAGGGCCATTCATGCTGACAATTCTTTGGGTCATATTAGGATTAATTTGCGCCTCTGTCAGCTTTGTGGGCGGTGGTAACTAGAAAATGATTCTCGTTAGTTGATCAGACTAACATAGATTTATCAATTCATCTAATTAATCCAACCTTCCCACGCTGGCAAAGACTTTTTCACACTTGCAAACAGAGCCTATTTTAACCTACTAATGTTTTGGCTTATCAATCCTTAGGATATCTCGTTACCCACGGGAGAGGAGAAGACTAGCTTCTTCACCTAAGGTTTCTTTTTTTTAATCTGTCACAAACTGTAAAGCAAATCCTGAAAACTCAGGAACCTGTAATTAAAATATGCTTACCTCTCCTATTGTTTTGGATCGGGGCTCCCACTCAAACCTTTAAAGAGGACCTTTAAGAATCAGGAATGTAGATTCTTTTTCCAAAAAGTTTATTACAAG